GAAGGGTATGCTTCTAAGAGAGGATAGGATGCTTTTCCCAGGAAGGAAAAAAGTGGTTTTAAGAAAAAGATTAATGACTTTATTTTGGTTTGGTATGATATTGCCAGGTCCCAAATGCCTACAAAACAATGTAGTAATGTAAGTAACGAGTATGGTGCAGGTAGAAAGACATAAAGTATTGCGGCGGTATGGTTACAAGGCAGCCTGCTAGTAGCATTGATTTCCAGGGTAGCTTAGGATGGCCAGGGACATCAGGTTGTGGGGCAGCCGCTAAACCTGCCCTCTTGGCCAACCTGATCCTGGAGGTGGGTGATGATGGCAGGATGATCTGCAGCTCCAGACATGCCCACCTCCTAAACCATGCGTGGCCTCTCACGATGATTTCCCCTTTTCCTTCCTCTGGAATTCTTTTTCCATTAAGCCAGGGGAAATGTCTATTTCACAGGCAAATGAGTAAAGATGATGGAAAGTAACTTGTTCTTTTTTCTTTTTAAATTAGTTATTCACAAAAGAATAGGTATAGATGCACATGAAAGAGAGACACCCTTAGCAGAACTCTGTTATGCCACAGTCCCCTTCTCACAACCTCCTAGCTCTTGAGGTCTTGGGTTTGTGTGTACCCAGTGTGTTTTTAGATCGACTGGGAATCTGAACCTGTGGTCAGCTATATGGCTTTTAGCATTGCAGTTCAGTAACCAATTACATCACTGAAGGTGGGCCAAGAACTTTTTTAATCTCTATATTTTTATTCATTCTTTCCTTTAAAAAAATGTTTTCATTCATTGGACAAACAATTCAATAACTGACATCAAATTCAAACCAGAAATCTAAAGATAAATGCTCCACAAATCCACTGTGCTAAAGAATCAGCAGTTTGGGACCTGCAGTTAGTATAATGGCTATGTCACTGGACTTCCATGTAGTCGACCCGTGGTTTGAGTCCTGGACCAGGTGGCTTAAACTCATGCCGGGTGTGTGTGCGTGTGTGCCCAAGATCCTGAGAGGAGAATGGAGGAGAAGGGATTGCAGCGTGGCCATCCCCACAGGGGGTTATTTCTCGCTTTCTGTCTCTCTGTCTCTCTCTTTCTGGTAAGTGCATGCGCCCTATAGCAAAAACCTCTCCAAAAAAAGAAAAAAAAAAAAGAATCAGCAGTTTTTATTTCTTTGCCTATGTCTCAGTTCACTTTTGCTGCTATAACAAAATACAAGAGACTGAGTAATTTATAAAGAATACAAATGTATTTCTTGCAGTTCTGGAGGCTAGGAAGTCCAAGGTCAAGGCACCAGCAGATTTTGTGTCTGGAGAGGGCTGCTCTCTGCTTCCAGGGTGGTGCCTTGCTACGGTATCCTCACATGGAGGAAGGAGGAAATGCAAAATAAGCTAGCTACTTCCCTCAAGCCCTTTTATAAAGGTATTAATTCCACTCATGAGTGCTCTGCCTTCACAACTTAAATCACCTCCTGAGGGCCTCACCTCTTAATATTCTTACATTAGGTCTTAATTTCCAACCTATGCATTTGGGGAGCACATAATTTAAACTGTTACACCTCATTTCTGCCCAGTGTTTGAACTTCTATGCTAACATGCCAGAGACCTGCTCCAGCCAGGGTGGGTTGAAGCTCGTAGGAAGGCGACACGGGCAATAAGAAATCAGGCAGAGACATCTATGCCCTTCAGCATTTTCTCAGCAGACTACGGTCAGAGGAAGCTCAAGACTGCAGCATCAGTGGTTAGGAGGCATACGTATTTATTGGGGGATGTTTACAGGGGCAG